AGGTCTTTGTAACTGCAACCAGCATGCATTGCCCACAGAATCTTCAGAATACGTCTTGTTTGTATTGATCTTTGGAAAAAAAGTCTGGATACTTTGTCCTTTTATGTCCTCTAATGAGGTCATAAAATAACCGAAGGGTTATGTTCGCCAATACATTCTTAAATCAACAATTCTCCTTCTGTCTCATACTTGTATCTCTCTTGTGAATTATATGATTCAAGACAGCCAGTCATGTTCAGAGATTTCTGGTTTGTTATATTAGTTTTATGTCGTCTCTGGAGGCAAAATACGTGAAGCTAAAAGTCTTTGCATCTTTCTGGCTCTTTTAACAGGCGGACAACCTGCGTCAACAAACATTGCAACAAATGCATCGCATATTGACAACCAGACAATCAGCCCATGCTCTTCTTGCAATAAGTGAATACTTCTCGCGTCTTCGAGCTCTCAGCTCTCTTTGGCTCTCCAGACCACGAGAGCAATAAGCACGACATGCATTGCAGTATTCTGCTGAAATTCGGACACTACTTTGATACACTGGCCAGTATATGAGATGCAGCTAAGTTACTATATTTTAAAGTGGTATTGTATGTGCTTGTGGAAGTAAAAAATTGTTTTGAAAAGTATAGAGAAATTTAGCAGGGATGTTTATAATTTAGATAGTTTTCCCAAATTGGTGTATATTGTGCTTTCGTTCCACTTTTTTTGTGTGGGTTGAAACATTTTTAATCTTGTTGAATTAACCTTCTCTACTCTCTAGTGTATCTTGTGGAATTACTTTAATGATGAAATTTTCTGTACGAATTGTTACACTAATTGCTTAATTTTTGTAAAAAAGTAACGTAAATCATACTATCCTATAATCATAAATATATGATTTGAAAAATTATAGTGTCGTTATCTTTGGAAATGGAGAAGTTTTAATTTGAAAGTAAACCAAAAATACATTTGAGGCGTAAGTTAATATAACTCGATAGTCATTATTCCCTTTTCCCTCCATTATTTTTAACATAAACTTTTTTTTTTGGAACTTTTGCAAATAGCCACTATAATAAATTTAATGCACCATAGCTATAATTTGCATATTTATGTGCTATAACTACAATTTAAGTTGATAATTCGCGAATTTGTATAATTCGTAGGTACATTTGTATAATTCAGTTATTTTTGTATAAATTCGAAATAACTAATTTATACAATTACAAACATCAGAAGCGTAACAATTATACAAATTCTGAATTATGCAAACGTACGAGTTATACAAAATTAAAAAGCTGAGCCGCGTAATTATATCTAAAAATAGGTCGCGAATTGTAATTAAGGCAAACTATAGTTATGTTCCCTAATTAACTAGTATATGTTTGATTATACACATAATTTTTCCCTTTTTTTATTAGTGTATATATATTTTACTTAAGCCAATGATCTATGGAAACAAAACCTTTTAAACTATGAATATATTAAATGATCTATGGAAAAAAACCTTTTAAACTATGAATATACCAATATTTTCAGATTCCACTTTGTAGTTGACAAAGTTGATAGTCATGCAACCAATCAACGAAATATTATTATTTTTATCGTGGAAGTACAAAATTTATTTTTCAAAGTATGGAGAAAATTATGTCGGGAGTTCTATCTTGAGCCTTGTAATGCACGATTTGAATTTAGTCGGGGCTCTAGTATGAACTCCAAACACTGGATGAGAAATAAAAAAAAATATTTTTCTTATTTACATAGTTCCTTAGAAAATTATTATTATAAGTCATGGACTGAGTTCTTTATAGAGACTAGGGGTGTACAAGCCAAACCGAATCGACGAACCAAATCAAACCGCAAAAAAAAACCAATTTGTAGTTTGGTTTGGTTGGTTTGGCGGTTGAAAAAAAAAACCAACTACTCTTGGTTTGGTTTGGTATTAAAAGAAAAAAAGTCAAACCAAACCAACATAAAATATATATATATATATAATTTTATTTTATTTATAGATAAAAAATATTATTTATAATCTACTTTGTTGATATATTTTTAGTTAGTTTATAGTTTTCAATAAATGGTCTAAAACCCCTTCAACCTATATCCGAAATCTCAACTACACACTCCAACTTCATGGGTGTCCTATTACCCACCTAAACTTTATATTTCTCTATTTTCTACACAAGTGCTGACCTCAACACATAAACCAAATAATTCGTCCTGCGTGATTTCACGCGCTGGGTCCCCGCCTTGAAGCTCCCATTTCTTGTTTTTCCCCCAATTTCTTGTTGTTTCCCCATTTTCCCCCATTTCTTGTTTTCCCCCCATTTTCCTCCATATATGGCTCCATAGTTTCTAGTCCGATTGAAGTCAACAGAAGTTGTTGCTTGTGGATCATTTTGTCGAACAAAGCAACGATTGTATGTCGGAGGAACAATAGAGTTAAAGCCCTGAAAGATGGGATGAATGGTGGCACCAACGGCAGTGGATTAGGTGGTCGTAGTTGGGACCCTGGCTTGGAAATTGAGGTGCCATTTTTGATGAATTTCGAGAAAATTCAAAATTCAAATTAGAGACCTAAATAAGAAATTAGAGCAGATTACAAACCCTAAATTCAAGATTTGAAGTAGAAATGAACATTAACAACTAAACCCTACTTAATTTTTAGAGGAAATGTTGATTTTTTTAATAAAAGGAACACGGGTTAATGGTGGGGAAGAAGAAACAATGGTTTATTTAAAGGTGGGGAAGATGACTGTCGGAGAAAGAGGAATTTTTCGTCAAATTTCACCTTCTAATGCGCCTAGAGGCAGTGAGAACACCTCTCATGACATGTCAGCACTTAGGTGTGTAGAAAATAGAGAAATATAAAGTTCAGGTGGATAATAGGACACTCGTAAAATTGGAGTGTGTAGTTGAGATTTCGGTTATATGTTGGGGGGGTTTTAGACCATTTTCTCTCTATTTTATTTCAAATTTGGGCTTGTAAAAATTGTAAATATTTTATTTTGTATTAAGATCCGAAGTTACAATTATATTGTTATAGTTTTTCAAATTCGAAGTTAGCAATTTACTTTGTAAATATTTTGTTTTGTATTTAGTTTGCCTCTAGCCTTTAATCTTATTAATTTAACAAAATGAACGTTGATATTTCAAAAAATATATTTTGTACTCATGTGAATTTTACCATCTTTTCAAAAATTTCTATTTATTTAACATTTTTTAAGTTCAGTTTATCACACAGATAAGTGAAAAAATATTTGATCTCTTTTTCAAATACCGTATAATTGTAAAAAACTAAACAAACCAACAAACCAAAAAACAAAAAAAAACCCAAAGAACCGACTAAAGCCAAAATTGAAAATACCAACTTTATGTGATTTGATTTGATTTTTAAATTTAATAAACCAACATAATTGGTTTAGACTTTTTTTTAATGAAAAACCGAAACAAACCAACCCATGTATAGCCCTCATAGAGAGACCATTCACAGAGTAATTTCCCTGGATAGTCACCCATGTTTGGAAATTACCTAGGAATATCATTTATGTTTGTTTTAGGACCACAATATCACCTAACTTTACTTTTTTTCCTCAAAATATACTTGACACAAAAAAAATATTATATCTCTCCTAATAGGATGCTATGTCACATTATTCCTTTTTTATTATTAACATTTTTTTAATTCCTTTTTTATTATTAACATTTTTTAAAATTCTTTAAAAACATTATATCATTTGTAGTTTGACAATATGGTTACCTTATTACTCTAATGAATTAAAATATCAACAAAAAGGGAGTCCGAAGCTAAAAGGGTCATTTTTTTCCTTCAAAAAACAAAAAGCGCACATCAAAAAAAAATTTAACCAAAAGGGCAAAATCCCTCCTGACGGATCGATTTTCTTCTGACAAAAATTGACGCCGTTCCGATAAAAGAAATAAAAATCGCTGCATTTGACAGCGATTTTCTCAAAAAATAATTATTATTATTTCTTTAAAATCGTTGCTATATAAAAAAAAAAAAGTGAAATCGCCGGTATAGCAACGATTTTTTGTTAAGGAATTAAAAAAAATAGATAAAGAACAAGTTTTAAATTACATAAATTTCCGGCGGCAGCCATTTAAAAAAAAAGTTTTTTAAAGAAAAAATTGATGCCGAAGCAGCGATTTTCAGTTTTAATTTTTTTTTTATTTTCATTTAAATCGCTGAAAGGGTAAAGATTTTTAAAAAAAAAGTTTTTTATGAAAATCGCTGGCTTCAGTTTTATTTATTTTTTATTTTTTATTAAATTCTCTGCAAGGGTAGGTTTTTTTTTTTTAAAAAAAAATTTCTTAAACAAAATCGCTGCTATAGCAGCGATTTAACTTCAGAACTTTTTTCTTTAATTTCTTAAACAAAATTGCTGCAATAGCAGCAATTTTAAAGAAAAAATATTTTTTTGAGAAAATCGGCAGAGATTAAAATCGCTTCGTCTGGAGCTATTTTCCCCTTTTGGTTAAATTTTTTTTTTTTGATGTGCTGCTTTTGTTTTTTAAAGAAAAAAAAGTTACACTTTTGGCTCCGGACTCAACAAAAAGGTGTCATTGCCAATTAGTGTCCATATAAAAACATTATCTTGCTTGAAAAATCGGAGGAAGCGACATATTTTCTTGAAGAATCGGAGGAGCTCATATTTGGATTTGCCGCCTAATCCCCTAGAACTAGGGTAAAAATTTTTGGGCAATGTAATTTTCTTTTACTAGGTCATATAGGTTGTCTAAATTTTTTTAAAAAAAATGTTAGTAATGAAAAAAGAATAATGTGACATGGCATCCTATTAGGAGAGAGACAATGTTTTTTTTTTTGTGTAAGTATATTTTGAGGAAAAAAGGTAAAGTTTGGTGATATTGTAGTCCTAAAATAAACATAAATGATATTTAAAGTAATTTCCCAAACATGGTTAACTATCCGGGGAAACTTTCCACAAAATTGGAGCAAAAGCTCTGGTATAAAAGTCATGGGCGGAGCTCACAGAACATTTAGCTGAATGGATGCAATGAGTGATAGGGAAGGCCCTAGGCTTGTGAGCTCCACTGCACTTTGGAGGGGTGACCGCCGGCCAGCACAAGTCGTCCACGTATCGCAGTTGGAGCAAGACTTTCAGCGAGCACCTCAACAGCGCGAAAGTGGTATGGCCTTTTTTTAGTCGTTGAACTTGTGTGCCCTTGCTTTCTTTTTTTCATTTCAACAAACAAGAAATTGATGGGATTGTTCTACCAAATTGAACTAGGAGTTGCTTGTTATTTAGCAATTACTCTTTATTATACAGGATTTGGGTAATTCTAGGAAGGTTCGGTTGAATCGGAATAGTTGGTTTCACTAGACAGAAAAGCATCCACCATAGATTGCAGTCAAACATACATTATTGCGTGGTCTGTGTTTAGGAAGCAAATAAGACTGGAAATAATGTGTTTTTTTCTACTTGAAGAAGATTGCAGAACTTTAGTTATCCTGATTTTTCCATTAACTGATGGTATAACTTGTGAAATCCATCTGTGTGTCGATACACTGTGAATTACATTAAATTTGAAATTAAGGAACAAAGTTAATTGCAGCTTTTAATAGGTCCTCAATGTGCATGGACTTGGTCGATGTTCATAATTTTCACACTTATGATGGTTGCTATGATAAAGATGATGAACAAATCAGTTGCTGCTTTATGCATTTAGTTTCATGCATGTCATTTTTTGTATTAGACTGGCTTATCTTAATAAGATGACGTTCAACCCCTTATCGTATTCCTGATTGCACTCAAAAAGTTGTTTCCTTGTGCTAAGATGACCTTTCAGATGCTGCCATTCTGCAGGGCCCTTACCATTTGATACAGAATATAGTCGATGGTTGGAAGAACACACCAAACACATCAATGAATTAAGGACTGCTGTCAATTCACATGCAAGTGATCCTGAACTGCGAAGTATTGTGGATAATGCCATTGCACATCACGATGAGGTTTATAGGATGAAAGCAAATGCAGCCAAGGGTAACGTAGAGCATCTCTTGTCAGGGATGTGGAAAACCCCTGCTGAGCGGTGTTTTATGTGGATTGGTGACTTCCGCCCCTCCTTACTGCTTAAGGTGACCTCTTCTTGCTCTCATTTGCAGGCAATTTTGCAGCAGTTCTTCCATATCTCCCATCTAGACTTCCCTTGTATAGGATTGTAAAAAGCTGTTATACTTTTTGATCATGTATGAAAAGGTCCCATTATTAGCTGGACTAATAACTTCTTCGTAGTATGTGGAACTTCATTGATTTATGTTTGTGAAAATCTAGAATACTTGCTAAAGATTGGGTGGTTTCACTTTCCCAATGAATGAGGTGTCGTGTGTTATTCTCCACGACCTAGTAATTTATGAGTGAAATAGGTTGCCTAACATGTTCCAATGTAACCATAAGAACAATAAAGAACACAATATTTTTACATGGAAAACACCCGGTTCAAAAGGTGTAAAAATCCACGACCTGTACCCCTACATGACTTAACTTCAATTTCACTAAATCACTAAGTCTCCACAAAAAATAGATTACAAACTTTGCAACCTACGAAACTAACTCTAATTCCTTAACTTCAAGTTATGGATTTAGATTACAACTCTTGCAATCGTAGGAACTAACTATAATTCCTAACCTTCTACAACTCTTGTAATCCTAAGAACTAAATATAAATTCTAAACTTCAACACAAATGTATTCCCAACTCTTCGAGTTGTCACAACCTGAAGACAACACTCCTAAACATGCCTAATTCAATTTATAACTCACTAAATTACATCAAGACTCAATCCCAAAGAAAAACTCCTAACACATAAACTCTGCAAAAGGACCAGGTTTTTCGATGTGTTCCTTCAGTTCGCTGGTAGCACTTGCGAAGTCAATTTTTCAATTGCTATTTTTTACTCGGTAAGTGCACAAGTATTCTGGATGACTTCACCTCTATTTAAGCACAATTCTTCACAGAGTTATTGTTTACTTCAAACTCCTCATTGACTTGAACTCTCTTGACTTACAGTTCTACTTCAAGTAAGACTCCTTCAATTCAAACTCCTCCTTCAAATCAAATTCATTGATTCTTTTGTATTGTAATCGAACTCCAACTCTTCAATTCAACAATAACTTGAAGAGTTCTACTTCAAATAAGACTCCTTCTTCGATTAAAACTCCTTACCTACTCCTTCTTCAAATCAAACTCATTGATTATTTTTCTTCAATTCATCACTTGTTTGATTCCTTGTGTTTTATCACGAAATTAACATTATCCATTTCTTGATTTCTGCACTCTTGTCTTTATTTATTTTAAAAGCTTTCCCGAATTCAACAGGTGACAGAACACATTTGGACCATGTTGACTAACGTGTTTCATCTTTCTTCAATGTGTGTTACCTCTTCAAACCCCACTTGTAGGACTACATTGAGTATGTTTCTCATTTCGTGAAATGATTTCTTTGGTAATGCAGCTTCTAGGCAATCAGTTAGAGCCTCTGAGTGAGCAACAGTTATTAGCAATTAAAATGATGCAGCGGACATGCCATGAAGCTGAAGATGCTCTCTCACAAGGTATGCAGGTGTTGGAGCAATCCTTGGGGGAGGCATTAGCCAACGGATATCCATTTACTGACGGGACACCAGGGGATGTAGGTAATTATATGGTTCAAATGGCAAGTGCTATGTGGAACTTAGGGGTTCTTGAAGATTTTCTCCTTCAGGTAACTCTATTTTTGTTGCTGCTTCCTGTTTTTTTTTTGGATTGTTTAGCATGGATATGCTGTGAATGCTTGTTAAGCTAAAAGTCATTGCATCTTTCTGGCACTTTTAACAGGCGGACAATTTGCGTCGGCAAACATTGGAACAACTGCATCGCGTATTGACAACCAGACAATCAGCCCGTGCTCTTCTTGTAATAAGTGGATACTTCTCGCGTTTTCGAGTGCTAAGCTCTCTGTGGCTCGCCATACTACGAGACCAATAAGTACGACATCCATTGCAGTATTCTGCTGAAATTCGGACACTACTTTGATACAGTGGCCAGTATATGAGATGCAGCTAAGTTACTATGTGCTTGTGGAAGTACAAATTTTGTTTTTCAAAGTACAGAGAAATTTAGATAGTTTTCCCAAAGTGGTGTATATTGTGCTTTGGCAGAATGACCTGGGAGATCCTTGTACTTGACTCTGTTGTAAGTTGGACTTTTGTATTTATGGTTTTACCAAATAGACCCTTAAACTCATTCAAATACAATATTTTATTTTAAACCCCTTTCTCATCTGATATGTGTGCGTGTAATACACTCATTACACTCATTTTGTTCCACTTCTTTTTGTGTGGGTCGACACATTTAATCTTGTTGAATTAACCTTCTCTACTCTCTAGTATATCTTGTTCTAATTGCTTAATTTTTAAAAAAAAAGTAATGTAAATCATAATATCCTATAATCATAATATATGATTTGAATAATTATAGTGTCGTTATCTTTGGGAATGGAGAAGTTTTTATTTGAAATGTAAATCGAAAATACATTTGAGGCGTAAGTTAATACTCCCTCTGTCAATTTTTTCTTTTATAGTTGTCCCTAATTACTTGTCTATTTTGACAAATCAAAAAAATATAATTTTTTTTACCTATTATACCCTCAATTAAATAACTAATTACTTTGAAAAATGTAGAACTTTTCATCCACTTCATAATTAATAGGGGTAAAATGATCAACTTACTATATCATTAATTGTTTTCTTAATAGGTGTGTCAATTCAAAAGTGGACAAATAATTAGGGACAGAGGGAGTATAACTCGATAACCATTATTCCCTTTCCCTCCATTATCTTTAACATAAATTTTTTATTAGTGTATATATATTTTACTTAAGCCAATGATCTATGAAAAACAAAACCGTTTAAAATATGACTACACCAATGTTTTCAGATTCTACAAAGTTGATAGTCATGCAACCAATCAATGAAATATACATATATTTTTTTAATCATGCTTAATCAAAGGTTTCAGATTCGATCCTTGGATATGGAGAAAATTCTATCAGGAACGCTACTCTGAATGGGCCCTGCAATGCGCAATTTAAATTTAGTCGGGACTCCAATGTGGACTTCAAACACTGAGTGAGAAATAAAAAAATAAAAAATATTGATTTTTTATTTGTTTAAATAGTCCTTAGAAGATAATAAATATGAGACGGATTTAACTATTTTATACATATTTATATATTAAGCTATAATTTCTCTATATAAATGAAGTTTTTTGTAATCTTTAATTCTCCCTCTATCCCTAATTACTTATCCATTTTTGAATTGACACACTTATTAAGAAAATAATTATTGACATAGTGGGTTTACGATTTTATCCCTATTAATTATGAAGTGAATGATTAAAAATTTAAGATTTTCAAAAAGTTCTACTTTTTTCAAAGTAATTAATTGAAAGTATAAAAGAAAAAGTGGACAAGTAATTAGGGACAAAAAAAATAATATACCACTAAGATTAAAAAATAATAAATAATCTAAAATAACTATATTTTAGAAATCACAACGGATAATCCAACGATGAAAGTGAGTGGTAAATAAACAAGTTTTTTTTTTTTTAAATTTCAAAATTGACTTTACAAAAAAAAGGAAGAAATTACTTTTCAATTTGTAACATGTTTTTATTGCTTGAATTTTTATTTTTTTAATTTTTATATTGTCTTGTTAAAAAGTATAGAAGGGTTTTGTTTTCCCCTTTGAGAAAAATTGATCTTGGTGAAGAACAAATCAATCCTTTCTGGGTTCAAATTAGGAAGGACCCAAAGTGTGTAACAGGTCAAACTGGTAAATATAGCAAACAAAAGGCAATTAGTTCATTGTAATCAAAGCAAAATTGATCTTCGTTTTCTCTTTTTGTCTCTTCAGAATTAGGTAGGACTTAGCAGATCTTTGTTAGGTAGAAAACAGGGCAAAAATCTCGTTTTTATCGCTGCAAATATGAACGTCGGACCATCTGGTTTCAGTAAGTTTTTGAATCCCACATCAATTACGCTTTTTTTTTTGATGAATTTAGTGTACGGATTTGCTTGTTTTCTAATTTTGTTTTCACTTTGATGTTGTAGACAATGCACCAGTGACAAGGGCATTGGTAATTGCGTGTACTATCTTCACCATCATATTTGGTGTTCGTGGCCGTGGAAATCAGCTGGGATGGTCTTATCAGGTAGTTCTACTTTCTGGGTATCTCTTGGTTTTGGTTCTTTTTTGGTGGGGATAATTTTTTGTTTTGTAGATTTGGGTATTTAGATAGTGATGGAAGAGTTTTCACCTTTTGGGTGTTATGATGTTGCTATTTTGTCTCACCCCCTTTTCGTGTATTGAGTTGAATTAGGTTTGAGGGTTTTTAGAACTGTGAAAAGAATATAAAGATTGGATCTTTAGTGCATAGTGACCCATTAACGTTTCTAAATCTGGATTTGAATCGTAGCATCTTGTCAATATGAGATGGGAGTGAACACAACTATAGCTAGACTGGCATGTTACTTAGTTCAATGCATATTGACAGTTGGTTTTGGGAGATTTCATATATTTGTGTTTGATGTATACTTCTGTGCATGAAATATGTTTGCTTAGTTTGACCCTTGTCCAATTATAAGTTTAGTGGGAGCTAAGGATAGTTGTTAAGGTGTACACAATCCTTTTTTAAAAAAAATTCTGAGGGGATACTCACTCTTTATGTCTAAGAGCATAAAATACATCATGTTTTCTCATCTAGTCATGCATGCTTATGTAATAGCAATATTGCTGGATCGTTTTCCATTTATCAGTGTTGTGCATTTTGAGGCTATACTAAAATAGGTTATCTTCTATATCTATCGAACATAGGTTTGTTACTCCATGAAGCTACTTAACAGTTCTCTTCCTTGTCTGTGAACGTGGATAAAATTAAATGGTTGGTTTATGAGCTTGGAACCACATATACTCCTTAGCCAAACTCCACAATAAAGAATGACTAAGCACAATTAGCAGATACAGCTAGCTAATCTTGAATCCATGTTTACTACGTCCGGTTTATCAAGTATGAGTACAGGTTTGTCTGTGGACAAGCTCACATACAATTTGTAGGAGACTTTTGGTTTATTTTGACGTTTTCTTATGAAGTGGTCATACCAATGTCATGTCCTCTTGAAAAAGAGTCCATGTAACATTGAATATCAAATGGTTTTATTCGTACCATGTATGGTACTCTGCTAATGCCACCACATTTGTTTTTTATTATGACATCATCAAGCTGTTTTATCCAATAGTAATATAGACTTTATATGCTCACTTGATAGGTTGCTAATACAATATATAGGTTTAATAGGCCTAATAGTCTTACAAAATACCCATCATCCAATGGCAATACTAGATTGTAAATGGTCTTCTTCTATTTTACTATCAAACTTTCGAATTTGAAGAGATACGAGCTCTGTCAATGTCCATGTGAAGACATATAACTTGTTTGTAACAGCAGGGGATATACCACACATTCCTAGTTGGTTTAGAAGCACCAAACTCACACATCTGTTTGTTTTGGTAACTTAAGAATAAATTGTTTCTTATTTGTCCTAATATAATTTTTTTGTTTTATAGATGAGCTTTGGAGAAATATAAGATTCTCTTTTAACCTAATATATGTGTTTTCATCTCATAGCTAAATCCATTCTGAGTTTTTGAAATTTATAAAATATCGGGTTCTGTTTCTCCTAATATACAATTTTGTTTAATAGAAGATGTGTTCTCTTTTACTGTATTCTTAGGTATGATCTCATTGTTTCAGTAGGATTCCCTGTAGCGCCATAGTAGAACTGCTAATTAATGCATCTTTTTTGCTTGTGCCAGGATATCTTCCAGAAGCTTCAAATCTGGAAGCTGATCATATCGGCTTTTACCTTTTCTTCTACCCCTGAACTAGTATTTGGATTATATCTGCTGTACTACTTCCGCGTCTTCGAGAGGCAAATTGGTTCGAACAAATATTCTGTAAGTGCTTATTTTGGGTAGTACTTTTCTTGGATAAGTTATTGTGGCAGCTTCAACTTGCTTAATAACAATGGACAAAAAATAAAGGCAACAGGCGTTAAATCAACTAATAGGCAAATAATAAAAGTCACAGTAGATACTGTTTTCCTTCTCTTTTCTACCTTTTTATTTTTCCTTTTCTGCAGTGTATTTTATTTTTGTACCCCTTTCTTTGCAGGTTTTCCTGCTGTTCTCTTTTGTGGTCTCTTTATTACTTGAGGTTCTTGCTCTACAACTTATTAAAGGTATTGGTCATTCCTAATCATCAGCTATGATAAAGGGCTTACTCCAACTGTTCTTTGTTTATAAGATTGATCATCTCTTTGAAAGAATTAGTGCTCATTTTTGTCAACCTTCAATCATCTCTGGCTTCTAATGCCATATAATATCCTACCTACAAGAAAATAGAATATTGAAGTGTCCTTCTAATGCCATATAATATCCTACAAGAAAAGGGAATATTGAAGCATCTGATCCATTGATATATTTTAATGTTTTTGAAACTGACAAACAGGTTCCTTAGCCATTGATATATTTTAATTCTTCATTTTCAGATCCTTCCTTGAGTATCCTGTCTGGGTCCTATGGACTCATTTTTTCTTCCTTTGTGCCCTTTTATCTCGACATTCCGGTTTCTACCCGGTTCCGCTTATTTAGTCTCCACTTCTCTGACAAGACTTTTATTTATTTAGCTGGCCTCCAGGTATATATACTCTATCACGGCTTCTAATTAAATATTGTCCTAGATTGAGTTTCTTATCATCCATATTTACTTGATATTTTATCTTACAGCTTCTTTTCTCATCCTGGAAAAGATCTATTGTACCCGGGCTCTGTGGAATAATTGCAGGTTGCTTGTATCGTTTGAACTTTTTCCGTATTAGGAGAGTGAAGGTTTGCCCTGTTCTTATTGTCAAAATTCTCACTCTTTAT